CTGCAGCTCTCCAGGTGGGGTGCAGGACGGCACCCAGGGCGGCTGTGAGCGAGCAGCGCAGGGACCTGGAAGGCCGGACTCTGGTCCACGTGCTCGGGTCACGATGCAGGCCGGCACGCTGCCCGAGGTCTCTGGGGCTCCGTTTCCCGCGGTGAGACGGGAACGACCTGGGGGCGTCGTGGGGCAGCGCACAAGGGGTACCCCGAAAGCGGCCGACGGGAGAGCTCAGCACGCCGGCCACACGCACCGGGCTGGGAGCTGCTGTCGCGCACCCGGGCACAAACCTGAAATCATAACTGAGCATTCTAATACATCTCTATTAATATCAGGCACAACAGCAAACTAAAAATTAGCCAGAATTTAGAAGATTTGAACAACACATCAATTAACTTGGTCTAAAGGATATTTAGATACAACTACGCCAGACACATTAGAATTATTTTTTCCAAGTGCAAATATTAATCAAGAAAAAGCAATGAAAGTCATAATAAATTTTAAAATGTTGAAATATTATGAATTAAGACCAGCCAGTAGCATGATGGTTAAGGTAGCTGGATCCTACATGGCCAGCTGCATGGTTCAAGTCTTGGATCTGGCAGCTTAAAGAACACCCCAGGTGTGTCTGCAAGCATGCCCAAAGTCTCTAGAAGAGCATGGGAGAGAAGGGATTACAACATGTCTTTCCCCCTGAGGGGGACTTTCTTACTTTCTCTTTCTCTCTCTCTCTGTCTCTCTCTAGTGAATACACACATCCTATAGCAAATTTTTAAAACAATATATGGATCATAATATATGAAAACAATGCAAATAAATTGGAATTCAATATTATATTAATAAATTAACATAAAAAATACATCACACAACACACTAAGACAAGGGAAATAAAATGTAATTACATAATCAAAATTTTCTTACATTGTAAAGGAATTGTACAATGCAAATTCTGAGAAGACTGAAAAATCCAACATGTATACTTAATTCTTAGAGCAATGATACAATAATATAAAGTGGTAAAGTAAAAAATACTAGATTATTCTAACAGCAGATCAATCTAAATATTATATTAAATGAAGCAAAGAAAGAAAAGAAGGAAAATAAGATGGGACAAATAAAATAATGAAAAGAGCTAGAGCTCTACTTAACCACCGAGGTAACTTAAACAGAAACGTATGAGTACTTGGGACCAGCAGTTGGCGTAATCGCTATGTCGCTGAACTCCCATGTAGCTGACTGCGGTTCAAGTCCCGGACCCGGTGGCTTAAACTTGCGCTGGGCGCGTGTGCGTGCATGCCCAAGACCCCGAGAGGAGAATGGAGGAGAAGGGACTGCGGCGTGGCCATCCCCCCTGGGGGGTGATTTCTCGCCTTCTGTCTCTCTGTCTCTGTCTGGCGAGCGAATGCGCCCTACAGCAAAAACCTCTCCAAAAAAAAAAAAAACCTTTCTTCAGATCGCTTGTTCCGTTTGACCCCTTGGGCCATATACCAGGTTTCGGTGAGAGGCTGCGTCGGAAATGTGAGCCCTTGAGACAGACACGCAGCTCTGAGTTACTCTGCCACCAGGAGTCTTCAAAAAGTGCATGGAAAAATGCCACTGTGAAAACCGCGCGGATTTCCCCTCTCTTTGCAACAAAACACACTGGCTTTAATCCCTTTTGAAGCCCCCTCGTACTCTGACACCCACACAGTCACTGGGTTTGGGGAGGGCAGGCTCTGCACCCCCCAGGTCCCTGCTCTCTGGCTGAGTGGTGTGGACAGTAGAGCCCTGTCCCAGAGCACTGCCACCGGCCCGGCCCTCCTGCCCTTGGGTAAGGGAGGGTTCCAGGAGTCTGGAAAAGACCTACGCCTTTCCCTCAGTGAGAGTAGCAAGCACACCTGTCAGGACCTGCTTTAATTGGCAAGATCATCTTTAACTGTGGGCTCTGGCCTTCGATGGCAAGCAGGGGTGAGGGAAGACGTGCTGGCATTTCACAAGCAGAAGGGAAGCATGATCGAAGCAAACTGGGCATTTTTTAGGTTTTTACTGTGAACAGGTGGGTTAGGTGGTATGGAGGTTAATATGCTGTTCTTGCATGGTTGACTTCAGTTTGGGTGCTGGATCCACCAGCTTGAAAATCACACTGGGTGTGTGTGTGTGCATGCTCTAAACCCTGAGAGGAGAATAGAGCAGGGATCGCGGTGTGGCTCTCCCCCCGGGGGTGACTTCTGACCCCCGTCTCTACCACTAGTGCGTGTAGCCTATAGCAAAAACCTCTTTTTAAAAAAAAAGAACCACATGCACTGTGACTACAGGGTCTTTCTTAGAACAGGATGGTACACGCCCTGCCAGGGTGGCCGCACTCCAACCTGAAGGCTGGGCGTGGTGGGCAGCACTTGCAGTCCCAGCTAATCGAGGTCCAGGCAGGATGACCACAATAGAGCAAGACCTTGCTTTAAAAAAATGAGCAGGGACATGGGACTCGGGATTTCTCCATTTTGTGAATGAATTTCATGAGATAAAAGACACTGAATACACTTTTAACTTTTATGTATTTCTAAATAAATCATGTGCAAGAGAGAGAGAGAGAGATAAGTACCCTCCATGGGGTCTGGCACAACCAGAAAACGGAAGGCATAAAAAAGAAGCATCTGAAGGAAAACACGGGAAGATGGACAGTGGAGGGGTCCTAGAACTGCTGCGAACAGCCCGGCCGGAGACGAAGGGAGGGAAGCCGGCTCGAGGAAGCTGGCAGAAACGGAACCAGTTCATAGCATAAAACACACTAGCGTGTATGGGGCAGAGACATTGGAACGCCAGGAAAAACTAACATGGAAAACCACACAAATGAGAAAATGAGGCAATTATTGACAAGAATAAAAATGCATGTACAAGAAGCTGCAATGCAGTATCGGCTCAGTGAACAGTATGTCTAGTATTTAAAAAAAATTGCCACAAGGTGCATGGCATGTATTTGTCAGACGGTGGGGAAGGGACACCCCCTCTCCCAGTACAGCAGTCAAGCTGCAATCCCTCTCCTTCACCTCTCCCTACTTCTGGGACTTGGGACTCACCACACACGCGTGCCCAGCATGTCCCTCAATCTGCTGGGTCTGGGACTTGTACCGCAGTTGGCCACGAGGGACCCAGGCTGGCCCTGGCTGTAAATGACACACAAATGTGCTTATTTATGTGTGCATGTGTTTGTTTTCGTTTGGTTACAAAGTGTCTTTTTAAAGTACTATTTATTTAATTTCATCTGGTAGCATTATTTTTTAATTTGCCCGGAGGCACAGAGACAAAAGGGAGAAAGGAAACTATGCAAAGCACACGACTAGAATGAAAACTCCCGGTTTAGTCTTGGTGCCAGTGGAGATTTGGCGGGTACTTTGGTGTAAGATTTTATTGAGCTCTAATTATTATTGCTTTCCAGTTTAATCAGGCAGAGAGGGGGAAAGTGAGAAATCGAGCCACCGGGTGCAGGACTCGAACCGCAGCCTGCCAGGTGGAGCCCGCGCCTGGGCCGCCACGCGCCTGGGCCGGGAGTAAGAGCAAGTTCCCCTCGTCTCCTTCGTGCTTTCCTCTCGGTGTTGACGCCACGCGGCGGCCGGCCTCGGGA